CCCGCAGCCCAAGGCCCTCTAGCTTTGGGTTGCGGGGGTTTAGGGTTTAGGGGTTTAGGGTTTAGGGTTTAGGGTTTAGGGTTTAGGGTTTAGGGTTTAGGGGACCCTGTTATTAATAAAGGTGCCGTAACCTACTATTTTGTAGGCTTCTTGGGCTACAGGGGTTGCGGGTTTGTTTTGAAGAGTTGGAGGTTTTTCAGAGGTAGCCTTGGAGCTAAGGCCAGAACTCTCAAGAGGTGCCTGCCACCCGTCGTCTTGAGTCGGGTTTGTTGGTTTGGGGTTTAGGGTTTAGGCTTTAGGCTTTAGGGTTTAGGGTTTAGGGAAGAGGGTTTAGGGTTTAGGGTTTAGGGTTTAGGCCGTCTTGGTTTGGCAGGGTCGAGTTGAACTGACCGAAACCTTCTACATCCTAAGGCTTTAAGCGCGTGCTGCTTGGGCAGGGGACAGGATGTTTAGGGTTGAGGGTACAGGGTTTAGGGTTTAGGGTTTGGGGATGCTATTAAAGATGCTCCTTACATAACTCTAAACCCTAAACCCTGGGCAGTTAGAATGAGTAGCGTTGTCTGTGCGGAGACTTGGGATGTGGCTCGCTTGGAGTGCGAAGAGTGCCGCGGTACGTAGCTTGAGAGAAGTGGGCATACTTGGAGGTTCATGGGTAGTTGTAAGCGGGAATACTTAGGGTTGCTATAAGCCTTGTAACCCCCCTTAAATAGGCGGTTTATAGCCCTATTTATAAGTATGCTAACACCCTAAACCTTAAACCCCAAACCCCGTAGAATCCGTAAAGGAAGCCTACTGAAAACGAAGCCTCCACCTGTCGGTTGAGAGCTGCCAGCAGAGAAGCCCTAAAGCCCAAACCCGAAACCGTCGACCTCCCAAGAACGTTTCACCGCTTCGGGTCACAGAGCCCGAAAGGGCAAGCGCCTGGCGTCTTTCAAAAGAGGGCAGGGTGTAAACCCTAGGATTTGCTCTAGCCGGTTTTGCGCGTTTTTGCTCGTGGCAGCACAAAACAGAAAGCAAGCATGTCATCTAGATGCAGTTGCAACCAGCTTTGAATCCCTCGCAGGCTAGGTTTCCAAGAAGGCAGCCCTGAATCGCCAAACAGCTGCAAGCAGAGAAGTCTCCCTGATGTTGTCGGAAATCGGCGCTGTTAGCGAACCCGCTTGCAGCGTTTAGGGTTTAGGGTTTAGGTTTTGGGGTTTAGGGTTTAGGGTTTAGGTAGGGTTTAGGGTTCAGGCGGGGCGATCCTAAACCCTAAGCCCTAAACCCGCAACTCCAAAGCCCAAGCCGCACTAAACACCGAACTTCCAAACCTTAAGCCCTGCACCTGACACTCTGCCCCTGCTATATACCCCAAACCTAAAACTTTGAACTTTAAAGCTCTAAACTTTGAACTTTAAACCCTGAACCCAACCAGGATTCCGGCCTCACGGATCTATAGGGTTTAAGGTTTCGGGTTTAGGGTTTAGGTTTGGTAGGGTTTGGGGTTTAAGGTTGGTGCGGTGTCAGGGTCTCATAGGGTTTCCGGTATTGGAGTTTAAAGAGTTTCAGGTTCTTTTAGGGCTTCAGGGTTTCAGGGTTTAGCATGGGTTTATAGGGTTTCAGGGTTGTAGGCTTCAAGAGCTCTATCAAATGAACTGCGGAACTTAAGATCTCGAAGCTGTAGTCCTCGGCTTCATTCGGTTTTCGACCCTTAAAATTGTAAAACTCACACCCAAAAACCACTGAAACCATCTTAAACCTACTGTTGCCACTTAAACCCTATTAAACCTTAAGCTCCCCTAAAACCCTAAACCCTAAGCCCCTAAACCAAACCAGAGACCAACCCGCAGCATTTCAGAAGGCGTATGGTACCATATACCCCGACGAATATAGGAGTCGGAAATAGCTTGTAATAGTATCCCTTTATTGCTCTCACATCATTATGGGTTAAATTTCCCCAAGTCACAAAAAACCTCAGACCCGAACAGGTACCTGCCCTCATTGAGGAGCGCTCGTCATCCTCGCTGCAGTCGTGCATTGCCCCAGCGATCCGATCTTCCATCGATGCATTTTGGGCTTCGGGTTTGGGGTTTAGGGTTCAGAGTTTAGGGTTTTGGTTTTAGAGTGCAGGGTTTGGGGACTCGGAGCTTGAAGCCTAATTCTAGCGCTTTCAGTTCTAGGTCGCTTTTCGGGTCGAGGGTTTTGGGCTGTGTGGCCCATGAAGTATACATCAAGGCGACACGTGTCAACATGAAGATTCTGTGTACAAGGGTAAGCGTGGGACATCCAAGTCTTCTCCTTCGAGGAAATGAGCTGTGTCCAGACTTATACTTTCGTTGTTGTTGCCATGTTACAGGCATGACTAATCAGTCTCAGTGTGCTTGTTGCTAGTTGTTGTTTGCGTGGTTTTGGGTTCCTAGCTTTCTGGGATAAGCTAGTCTGTGCCGCAGCACGTTTTGCTTGGACTCGCAGCAGTTTCTTGGGCACCATGGGCCCAAGCCATCGAAGCTGCACCGAGCGGCTTCCAGGCCTTTGTCGGGTTCGAGTATATAGGGTTATCCGCATTCCAGCACCCTTACTAAATCCTACACCTCTTTAGAGTTTCAGGAGGTTCCCATCGATCATAAACGTTCTTGACTAAGTTCGCTTTGGAGTTTAGAGTATAGGACTTGCGATTGCAGGGTGGCATCACGTTATCGCACCCGCACTCTCTCGGCATGGCTTCTTGTTGCCGTCGCATCAATTTGTGATCCTATTCGTGTACATGCTCTCTTGTATTCGTCTGCCTGCTGTTTATGTTCATCTGCTACGAGTACAATACCGGCCGTCTGCTGAATCAGAATCGGTTCTGCCTTTGCATAGCAAGTCAAGGTACCAAACATACTATTTAAGTTTGTACTTGATTACTACTCTGCCATACCATTGCATGCCTGCAGCATTACAATACGATGTTGTCGACACGTCGCTCTCATTCTTTGTGTATCTGCTGTAATACCATTCAGATGATTTACATACTGTCGCGTTGAGACCCATGCAAGCCCTGCACCCTAAAGTCCTGGAGACCCTAAGCAGCGCAAGGGTCAAGGCAGAAAGTTTTGGGTCCCTGGAAGCCACAAAACCCCAAAAGCCCCAAAGTGCCCAACAAGCGCCAAAAGCCCCGAAAGCATGAACCCTAAACCCTAGACTCTAAACCCTAAGCCCTACCTGAACCCTACGCAGCCACCTACCTTTTTGGGGCTCCTTAATATGATTTCCTTACATGGTAGAAGTCCTTGCAACAGTAGGTTTCTTGGGGTTCAGATCAGGTAAACCCTAAACCTTTAGATCCCACTGCATGTTCTTTGAGGCCTCCTTATCTTGCTGGGGCTCTTGGGCTTCTTCCAGCACAGCTCTTTTTGAGCCTCGCCTTTATGAATTCACGAAGCTCCACTTCGACCAGGGTTCCGATTATAGGGCTTCTGTGGGGTTCCCAGTGTAGGGTTCCGTTTAGGGTTCCGCTTATGGGGTTCCGATTTTGCGAGTCCGCCAATCGGGTTCCGATTATAGGAATCCAATTATAAGGTTTCGATTTGAGGTCAGAGGTTCCGTGCCGATTATACGTTTCCGATTGTAGGGTTCCGTATTCAGCGAATAACTGTAATTTTCGTGATGATCTGCAATTCTTTGAGCGGGTGGGTAGGTTTTTACCCGAACGAGGTGGTACTTGGAGGTTCATGGGTAGTTATAAGTTTTAATTATAGCTACCCTACTGAGAATACCCTAAATCCTAAACCCTAAACCCTACTTATAATACCTACCCATGAGCCTCCAGTTTGGGAGTCTAGGGCTTTCGAAGTTTAGATCTCCCACTTAAGGAGTAAACTTTGGTTTGTGGCAATATAGGGCTTGGGTTTAGGGTTGAAAAGGTTTAGGGGTTTAGGTTTCGAGGTATATGGTTAAGGGTATGTGGTTGGTATTCGGGCATGACGGTTGGAGGAATTTTTTCATAACTCTACAGCATGAGGCAGCTGCGCTTATGGCTGACTCAAGTTTGCTCCTCACGGTACGTCCTTTCCAGCAAGGCTCACTCAACCATAAGCCCTAAACCCTAGGAACGGGAACCCTAAACCCTAAACCCTGAACCCTGAACCCCAGGAAGGGGAACTTCGCACAGTGAGGCTTCCGATCGTATTTGGGGACCCCATGAACAAAGCCTGTAGTCTGGTATCTTTTCGTTGAGGCAAGCATCACCACCGGTGAAAAAGGGTTTTGGTGTGATTTGTCCGAGGCCCCAGTTAAGACAACAAAGCTCTAAACCCTAAATCCGTCTCCTTGGACCTCACCGCAGATCAGGTTCCCTGGGGTTTTGTGCCCCAGCCTCCTCTCTGGGCCGGACGATGCGGCAAGCGCTGCGAGCGGAGTCTGATGAAGTGGCTGCGACTGAGGAGAAGCCTCTGTGACTGGTCCTGCTTTGGTGCTTGGAGGGTCGGGGGACTTAGTAAGTGGGTAATAAGCAGACTTATAAGCACCCTAAAAGGGGCCCTAATTTGGGGTTATGATATATACAAGCCTATAAAATAGCTACTTACTAAGTCCCCCGACCCTCCAAGTGGTCTGATTGTAGGACCATTGTAGGACTTCTGACTGCCGGGCCGAGCGTCCGTGAGGATCCCAGACCCCTAAACCCCTAAACCCCTAAGACTCCTAAACCCTAAACCCCAAACTGCCCTAAACCCCTAAACCGTAAGGTTGGATATTTAGGCTTTGAAGATTTGGCGAAGCGAAGTTTGTGATTCAAGAGGCGCTTCCGCTAGGATTGCGTATGTCAAGTGAGGTTGCGCAGTGCCTGCCCAGCTGCGAGATCAGTTCCGGATGTAAGATCGCATCTAGTCTTTGGGGTCTAGAGCTTAGGCTGAATCTTTCGTTAGTTTCAGCTCTCGTTAACCCATAGACCCTAAACCCTAAACCCTAGTTAGATTCAGCTCTCTTGACCCCATAGCAGCTGTTTTAGTCCTGGCTCTCCTCTCGGTTCCCGCCATGAGGTCGTACTATGCGGGCATGCTCACAAATCCGCCGAAAGAGGAGGACGGGGAGAAGGACTGAATTCATCGGGGCAACTTCCACGAACATAGGGGCCAAACTAATGACCAATACTATTTTGGGGTTTTCCTTGAATGATAAGTACAGTATTATAATGGCCCCCAAAACCCTATTCCAATTCTAAGAGAGCCCCTGTATTAACACTGTGAGCCCTGCCTTCTGATGTTCAGGAATCACTTAACTGGTTTGACCAACCTTCCAAGATAGACTCCCCTAAACCCTAAACCCTAAACCCCATAAGCCAAAACAGGTTTCCCACAAAACTTGATCCTTTCAGAACCCTAGCCTCGCACCCGAAAGCCTTGACGAAAAAATCGCAGCTTTACCTTCCGACATAGGACATGATCACACCCACCCTGAAGTTCATCGGCTACGGCGCTGTAGTCGGCTTTGCCTACTTGGCAGTTTTTGTGGGAGTGAACTCCGGAGGGCCCTGAGCATGTGCAAGATGCTATGATGGAATCGCTAGAAAGTCCTAGTGGCTGTCACCGACGTCGTCAACATCACCATCAATGTCGTCACCGCCATCTGTCTTTCTGTTACTGTTGCTGCTGCTGTTGTTGGGGTTGTTGTTGCTCTTGCGACTCAAGCGGTTGCTGTTGCTGCTGCTGTTGCTGTTCTGCTTTCTCTTCCTGTTCCCGTTCCCGTTCCTGTTGCTGCTGCTGCTGCTGCTGTTGTTGTTGTTGTTGCTGCTGCCATCATCATCAGTATGAGCAACAACAGTTTCAGCATTGCCAACAACATATTCAACATTAACATCAGCATGGTCATCGTTTTCATTATCGTCACTCGTCATCCTGCTTGTCCTGTTCTTCTTTGTCGCCCTCGATATCGTCATCGCCAGCGTCGTCTTCATTTTCATCCCCTTGGTAACGGTTACTACCAGCATCATTCTGCTCGTAAGTGCTATCATTGCCACTGACATCGAATGACATTCGCCATCGCCATCATCAACTGCCCAGTCCCTTAGGTTTCGGTTCGGCGCCAGTCCGCAACTACTCATCATGTTGCCAGACTTAGCCCGTGATTCAAAGCGTGCTGCCGGTAGCACACATTTTCAGTATTAAAACCCTCGCATTTATCCAGATGTTACCGGGATGGCATGCGCACTCGCTGGCCTCTCGCCCTTCCCAAAGAGGAAGTTTTCGCCACCGAGCCACGCCGTCTCACAGCAATGGAAGGCAAAAGCATTCGGAGCATGCAAAAAGTTAAAAGGTTCTGGAACCTAAAACCTTAAACCCTCAACCGTGTATACCCCAAAAGCGACGTGACAGGCAGCCCCCCGAAAGCTGCGACATGCTCTTGGTCAAACCAAAGACCCGGAACGCAAACCTTTGTCGTAGTTGGGTAACATTTTAAATTTTTATGGGTACTTACACTCGATAAGGAATAGACAGTGTATTTTTTCATACTATCCCGACCATGAAGTAGAAACGTGGGGAGGTCAGACATCGACAACAAGCCAAACCGCACGTCGCGTGTTCTACTTTTGCGACAGCCCGCGAACACCTAGCGACGCCGTAGACAAATAAGTCCCGAAGTTTAAACCCTAAACCGGCGTAAACCTTATACCTACTAAAGCACGCTAAGAGAGTTTTTTACGCACCTCTGTGAAAGCCCAAATTCCTCCCCATTCAAACAGATGAACCCGAACCCCTTCCTGAGCCCATCTTGAAGCCCGTTTAGGTACCCTTAAATGAACCACAAACCCCAAAGCTTAAGCATAGAACCCATATATTACTACTGCATAGTGTAATGCCCCAATCGCACCCTTACAGGAACCCAACCCTTGTGTTTTGGTACCTGTTTTCTGCCCTCATCGTACCTTTACAGGAACCCGTTCTAGTACCTTTTCCTACCCGGAAAGACTTACGCGCCGAGCGATTCTAAGTAGGAAGTTTCAAAGAGCCCTAAAACTTCCCTAAACCCTAAACCCTAAACCCTATAAACCCTAAACCCTATAAACCCTAAACCCTAAACCCTAAACCCTAAACCCTAAACCCTAAACCCTAAAGCCCTGAACCTGAAAATCGAAGCCCGACAGCATGACCCCTAAGCTGACCTTTCGTCTCCATTGTAGTTCCTTTTCTTGAGGAAACCCAGTTTATGTAAAAGGATCCTCACCATAACCTTAAGCCCTGAACCTTAGAGCCTAAACCCTAAACTCTAAACCCTAAGCCCTAAACCCTGAGCAGCGCTTCCCAAGGCGTTGCACTGGCGGTCGGCGCCTCGGCCTCACAGAGGCGGTGATGCAGATGCAGGGGGCCTGGGCTCTTTTTCGAGCTGTTCTCCAGGGGGTTCCAGAAGGTGTGTAGGGGTTTAGGGGTTTAGGGTGGGGGTTTAGGGGTTTAGGGCTTTAGGCGTTTAGGGGTTTAGGGCTTTATAGGGCTTTCGGGGTTTAGGGGTTT